TCTATGCTGTCTGTTTATTGCTTACATAAGCCAAATCCATCCAAAATTGATAAACCTCACAGCAACATGCTTAAGCGTTCGAATATTTACACCTTCACTGTTTATGGGACTAAGTCTAAGATGACATTTGTGAGTTCAGAAAAATCCGGTCCTCATTTTGACTAATATATCATCTATTGTAAGAAGACCTAATCCGGGCAACACACAAATTTTGGAAGAATCGTTCCGCAAAACATGAAGCACAATTTTGTCTGTTGTTTAACCCAAAGGGTAAGGAGGATCTCCTCGGCTGATAGCATTAAGGAAGAATTAAAGATTGTCGAAAATCTCTTTCTCCAGAACGGATATCCCAATCGATTAATTGCCAAGTACATGACCGAAGGGCAACCAAAACCTCCTACTGACGGCAGAAAAGCAGAAGCTTTGCATCAGGGTCCCGTTCCAAGGGTACGCGCCAGTTAAACTTATAAGAAGACTCATAACTCAAGTTGTATCAAGCACCTTTCCAGCAGCTGACGCCCGTGTACTCTTCTCCACTAGTCCCATCCTACACGGAGAGAGCAAGGACAGATTGCCAGTCCATATCACTTTTATGTGTATTTACTCCTTCACCTGCTCCTGTGGGGCAGAATATATTGTTCGCGCGAGCCGGTGTTTGTCCAAAAGGATAAGAGAACACCTACCAGCATGGTTAGTAAAGGGCCAAATAAAGAATGTCGACAGTTCTATCCTCGCTCACATGGTAAACATAAATCAATAAGTAGATGCCGGACACTTGAACAGCGTCTGTTGGCAACAGCAGATGTGGCTGAGATCAGGCTATACAAGCCTGTTCTATGCGGAAAAAAGAACTTCGTACAGGCCCCACAGTTACCACGGACCAAAACGACCAGGCCAGCCACCTGTGTATACTTACCCGTCTCAGTGCCAACCAATCCCGTTTCTTCCCTGACACTGATGGTAATTTTATTTTTTACCTCACCCACCCAGACCCTCTTCCTCAAACCCTAGTTACAGAATGCCTTCTGCTTGCCCGCATTTTCATTTTGATCATTTCGACAGCAATATAAATGTATAGGCCTGATAAGAATTTATCGAAAGCTTGCGCATGCTCGTCAAATTGTCTTTTGGGTTCTTCACAACTATGATATAGCTGAAAAAACAAATTATGCCTAGATGAGAAATGCAGGTATCAATTTCGCTATTTTGCTTTCCGAAATCAGCTAGACATCAGACAGCAAAAGTAATGGAGAGGTTAATTTAGAACACCCGCATAATGCTATGTTTAGGCGGCCATGTATCTTTCTTTTGCAGAAAGTAAACCTTTTCCTTGTGAACTTTTCAAGGTCAGCGTTCGCTAATATTACAGTCGCCTTTTTAAAACTGCATGAACAGTAAACTCCTTAAGTAGACTCCTTTCACTTCAGTAGGTGGTTTTGTCTGTTTTTAACTTATAGGGAAAATACCTGTTTCTGGTCATTTTTATGGACATAGAATTAGTTCTTACCATGGCAACAAAGTCAACAATTGTACTTGCGTAAACTATCATTAAAACGTCAGGTTAAAATTGTGCCTTTGAAAACTGTCTCCTTTGCTTTTTTTAATTTCTACATACTTATTACGCAAGACGGTGGCAGTTCACGCAACTTGCCCATGTGTGGAGCCGAGCATTTAAAAAGGCATCTTTTGTTTAGGGGCCGTTGCTAAGAAACCAATCATTGAGAAATTGTGACTCCCATTCCTGCCTGTTGTTCATTCACTCCACAACCCCATCGATTCTCGGACGCTTTCTTTCTCTCAGTGAGTTGGCAGTAAAACTGCAGAGAGAGATTTAATGCTATGAATTTTTTGAACTATTCATTGCTAATTTCAGATTATTTATTATTTACGCTTAAAAAATGTGGTGCTTTATTGCTATAGAGCGCAGACCTCGGAAAGTAGATAGATACTTAACAAAATGTAAGGCAATTTGACGATAACTACGCTTGATATTAAGTAATATTTTATAGCATAAACAAGACCCCCGGAGTGAAAGGAAACCAAATGCGCCACAAAAAACTGATAGACGAAATATGTTGCACCGCCAGCAAAATCGTGTTTCGTTTTCGAGTCTAAGTTTAAATAGCACCCTTTAACAAACTGATTTTGCGTGACGTAATTTATACCAAATGGGCTGCTTAGTTAAAAACCCATCATGCAGCGAAAATGGCAGAAAAACGAAAAGTGTCCAAGAGCATTTTAACATGTACATGAAATACTCACCGGAGATACAGATATGCATCGATAAGTTACCAGTATGATAGATTCTGGCATAAATGAGGTCAAGCAATGGAGTTTAGCCAGGCTCTTATCTTTATCCAGCATAAATGACGCGGTTTGTGCGCTGTCAGTACGAGCACAGTAAAATCGTAATTCATAAAGGGCCACAAAACATAGCGGTGTTTGCTAGATGACTGTTGCGGCCAACCGACTGCAGCGATTTTTCCGAATAATCGATCGCTGGTAAATAACAGTAGTTTGATATCTAAATGTCAAAAAGTGAAAAGATAGTGTCAGCGGGGAGAATGCGTCCGGCTTCTATCCGTCAATCGGCGGTCAATTTGGATCATTGTACATCATGCCTTAAAATTAGATGTGTACAGAACAGCAAACTGACGACTTTCTACTTCTTCAAAGTACACAAATCAACTTCCTCACAACCCGTCGTTTGTCGACTGGTGGATTGTAAATTTTTTTATGCCAAGGGCATGATTGACCTTAGGCGTTTGAAATTACGGGGCAACAAACTCTCACATATTTGCCATTTCAGTCTTCGAGTAAGTTTCATTACGTAAAAGATGCGGCTAAAAGTCGTTAATGTAACAGAATCGGACGAGAGGTATTGCCTGAAGCATAGCACGCCAATAGGAGACTACACGCAATCTGTGTCTATCACGGCAAAAGTAGTTAACATTTGTTTTTCTATTGACCTCCTTGACCTATGTACAAAATTTAAACTGTGGCCTGCTCGGACTTTTACTGCTGCGATGGCCGATAACTAAAAATGCACATGTTAACTATCTTTTAAAAAATTGTTTTACGTTCAGATTGTCATAATAAGCCATAAATTTCGGGAATAGGTTTACCTAGTAAGGTAAGTAATCTAACATTAGATTATGGTGATAAGGGTTAAAGTTTTGCAAAAGGGAAGGTTGGCGTTTCGGTCAATATAGGATTCATGTTAAGATAAACATAGAGTTAGAATTATGGCTAGGGCTATAGTTGGGGTAGTGATTGAGATACGGATTCGGATTAATTTTGGGTTAAGTCCTGGGATTGACGCTGACCTTATGGTTTGGTCACCGGAGTAAGTACCCCTTCTGGAATTCGGCTCAGGGCAACATGTATTGCAACGGGTTCCTAGTTACTTGGCAAACCACTAAATATTTTCCAACTTAACATAATTGCAGCTGGAAAATCTCTTGCACTTTAATTGGGTTGACGATTTATTTCAATTAAATAACGAATGTACATAAGTCAATACCACTAATGACAACTTGAGACACTCAATTTCTTCCTGGCTTCTAGGGGAGGTTTTCTTTAAAGGTATTTATTCCTTAAATATTAGAATATAACGTGTTGAAAATTAAGCATATTAGCTGACGTTTTTGAAACATTAAACAAAATTTATGCTTGATCAGAGCAGAGTTATCAGGTTAAATATCCTAGTTATCGAATTCACTGCAGAAAACGTATTTTAAGTCATTCAAACGGTTGCACGCTTTGGCAAGTAGTCTCAAGCTTCATATTGTTTATAATATGGAGTAGATTTTGAGATTCTATATCTTCTACATGTTAGACACCAAAAGTCTCCTCCATTTCAACATGTTTGCTAAATTTACTGGGGCAGTGACAGATACTAGAAAACTTCCGGCATAAAATACCCCTTTAGAAAAGCAGTTGACAATCCTTCAAATGTACGTTTTTGAATTTTAAGCCTTGAAAATTTTGATTCTTTTCTACACCCATATTTCATACGCGCACGCTATACCTGCCTTAAGGGATAAAACTAAAAGAGCTCTAATACTGATCAATCTCTGAATATCAAGTGCATTACGGCCAGCCTGAGATTAGACAGCAAGTAACCATGAAATACAAACATTAAGTTAACTCAAAGAAACCTCAAGAAAAATGGCAAAACTCCTAAAAAAACTGACAATGCGGCTCAACTGTAGAATTTCTATCTAACCTGCTCAGTTGTCATCGGTTACTCAATTCAAAAGACATATGCACCCTACTTCATTATCACAAGAAGACAGATTTGCATCACTGAAAAAATATCACCAACCTAAATGTTAAAGCGCTCTTGACCCGAAAATAATAAAACAAAAAGTCATAATTGCCTTAAATAAAACACATTTAGCCAGCTTCTTTGACCAGTATGCTTTACAATTGCCTCTTTTTAATTTCTTCAGAAATTTACTACGAAATTGGAGTAGATCAGTTTACTCAAGGTCCATAGGCTTGAACGGATAGTACCTAGTATCTTTGCAGTTAGTGTGGTATCACCTTACCCAATGCCTTATAATCTTACCTCTGGTGTAAAATTTTAGTTTAACTACTGTTATCTATGAAAACCACGTTTCGAAAGATGCCCCTCCGACTTTAGTAATAACTGATCCTAATGAAGTTTACTATTCAAGATTAGAAATAGGTATTTGATCTAACCTAAAACCTTCGACAAGTTTAAGTCCTTTTGTCGAATTTACCTAATCAGAGCAAATTTTACTATTTTTAGAGAAATTTCAAAAACCCCAGGTGGACAATCTACTCGCATGTCACGAGTTCAGACAGTCAGAAGTCAGACGTACAGCTTCGTCAAGGCTCACGCTATCTGCTGCAACGTGACCGCGGTCATATTTGCGGCCGTGGGTTTGCCATTTCTTATCACTGGCAGCGTTTTGGTGGCAAAATATCAGAATGTTTGGTGGAACCATGCATTTGCTGATAATTGGGAGAACATGATCCCCGAAGAACCCAACACGCAGCACATGTAAGTTTAGCTGAAGTGATGTCTAGTAAACACTTACCTTTCAATCGAAATTTCGCACATTTGAAGGCTAGGCATTATGCGGTAATTAATTGAGAAAAAATGAAGTCCTTTGACTCAACAGTCTTTGAAAGATGGTTGAGATAATGACCGATACTTTGGAATGCATTTTATTTAGAAGGATCAACTAGGTGCGATCTCGATGCTAATACTATTGTCTTAAAATCTAAGGATACTTTAAGCACACTTTAAAGCTGGTTTTCGAGTTTGCATGTTACGACTGCTTGCAAAAACGGTAACCGGAAAAAGTGACCACGCAAGTTGCAGAAGTACTTTTCACGAACACTTAGTATTATAAGTAGTTTAAATATAACCTACGGGAACCATGCTTAAAAGATTCTTTTTTGCCCCTTCTGTATAAAATCTCTTTCTTTTTATTTTATGTTCTAGGAAAAAGGATATATTTTTGCTTTTAACTATATTTATTTCCCGAATAATTTTAAGTTCAATCTGTCATTGTATTTGCGTTAATGTTTTCTAAACCGCGCACTGCATACTTCCATGTAAGCAAAAATAGACATTATTCCATGTCCTCTATACGATAACATATAGGGCCCATACAATTCCATGATATATATTTACAGCAGTGTATTGTCCATAAGAAGCATTAGTAAGACTAAAGAAGCAATCCCAATTGAATGGACGCTTTGCGGCACTATAAAATATCATAGTCAACGGTTCTTGATGCAATAAAACGTCTTCTAAATAAGACATGAGTGAATTATATCTAGCCAAATGCTATGCTATTTGAATGGGCAGTTTTTGCTTGTACATTGCCACCATTAAAACAATGCAAATATTTAGTGAATCACCACAAAAACCATATTCGGATAATTGCCTTGGAGATCAGAAATATTTCAGAGGTTAAAAAATGATTAATAATGAAGGCTGGGCAGCATGGTCTTAGGAGATGGGATCTAGGACTGAAGTGAAGATTTTATTTGCAGTCACCAAATTCTGCAAAGTAGTTGCGTTGGGACTCCGCAAGAACGTAGGGAATACATGCGTTCGTACATGTACGTAATACACGCCAAAATACGTTTCTTTGGCTCCAAACGCACTAATGTCTAGGTGTACCAACAGTTTTTGTGGCCATTTTATGCTGCAATCTAACAGAATAACAAATGAATTTCCGGCTAACTCGTTTTCAAGTTAGCATTTTTCGCGAAAACCTATCGGGATAACATCTCGTTTTCAAAGTTGACAAATCGGTCAAAATAAGGGCGTTGAGTAAACAGTGACAATAGGAGATAAAATAATCCACTTAGATGACTGTGACCGTCGTTCAGTGAGAAAACACATGTCATTTAGATTATCCCTCTTTCCATCTAAATTCTTCCGTTTCGACTACTATTTGGGAGAATTTAAAGTCTCAAACGCTCATGTGAATTTTATATTCCGATTTCAAATCATGCTTTAGTAAGTTTGCGTCAGGAGTTGCTCTCATCTTCTTCGGAATTATCTTCCTGATCGTCGGAAGCATAAGCTTTGCTTGTGCTTGTTGCTCCATGGTTGCAGTGAGGGACGAATTCGCCCAGCAACCTGTTATTATGCAACAACAGGTAAGCTTGCAAAAATGTTTTTCCTAACTAATTTCTTGAAAAAAATGCACTTTTGCATAACGAGAAGGCTGATTAATCCAGGTGACATATCCTTTCCTACGGATGTCAAGAGTAGGACAAAACCCGAAATTACCATTCAGTAGACCGTTTGGTTGACAAAAATCTCATGTTCTTTTATAATCTTTTAATTATCTGTTTAAATTTCTCGTCCGTAACCTTGTGTTACCCAGGATTTCTAAAGTGCGTTGCCTGCGAATTTAAGACTAAACATGCACGCCGCCAAAGTACGATTTGCAAGACCAAAGTAGATTATTAGAAAAATTGTCTTAACCTCCTAGATGTGCACTGGAAAGGAGCCTCCTAGTGACTGGCTGTCTTAAGCTTCCGATGGAGAAACGCATGTCTTAAAACGCACATAACACCGAATCAGCACTTGTTTTGGCTGAAGTCGGGCTTTGAAACCTTAACATAAGGATAGCAGTAGAAGGGAATAGGTTGCAACAGCATACGTTGCGTGCAGTGGCGACACAAATTCAGGCCTTAAGGAGCGCGATCTCAATACCCTAAACAGTCAAAATAAAGTCCTAAGCCAGATTCGTGTGTAAATTGTTTTTGTAAAAACACACGGCAGTTGCAGCGAAACTGGCTTAAAAATAAATGGGGACCAAAGTAGATTATTAGAAAAATTGTCTTAACCTCCTAGATGTGCACTGGAAAGGAGCCTCCTAGTGACTGGCTGTCTTAAGCTTCCGATGGAGAAGCGCATGTCTTAAAACGCACATAACATCGAATCAGCATTTGTTTTGGCTGAAGTCGGGCTTTGAAACCTTAAGATAAGGATAGCAGTAGAAGGGAATAGGTTGCAACAGCATACGTTGTGTGCGGTGGCATCACAAATTCAGGCCTTAAGGAGCGTGATCTCAATATTCTAAACAGCCAAATAAAGTCCTGAGCCAGATTTTTGTGTAAATTGTGTTTGTAAAAACAACGTCAGTTGCAGCGAAACTGGCTTAAAAATAAATAGGGAAATTAATTATTACAGCTAAGGATTAAAAAACCAAGGCAGGTCTGTCTTTCTATTAAATATCCTCGACTCCCTTCCCAAAGAAAAAAAATTATCAGAAAAAACCAAATGGGTTTTTTCGAGCGAAGTTAATCACCCAGTGAACATAACTTTCTGGTTTTGGTGTAGCCCGTGACTGCGTTTCAAAACGGAAAAATCTTACTAGACTAGTTGAAAAGTTCATGGGCTAGAAGCTGGAGTAATCGTTAGAAATAATGCATTTTAGAGTCTCTGTGAAAGAAAGTCGATTTGACCCGAAGGGAAATTTGGAGTAAATTAAAAGTGCTCTTATTTGAATGTACTCTCAGTTATATACTACATCACCTCACATTCAAAAAGTTGTATTTCCGATTTGACGTCTGTGTTCTTTTGCATGAGCCTATGCACAATACTTGACACTACCCTGATCCACCAGCGGTAGCTATGCTTCCCTAGACCTTCTTGAATTTATTCGCTAAAGTCAAATACCGAAATAAAAAGGCTATTGGCGAAGCATTTTAAGGTTAATCAGTTAAAACCAGAGATTTTCAGCTAATTCAGAATACATTGCTTCAATCTTCGCTTGCGTGACAGCCACTGGAGTTGGTGGATTAGACGCCTGCTAAATCAACGCTCGTTTCTCCGAAATGATAGGTTCTTTTCGAAGCATAATGCTTGGCCCTTCTTAACTAGCGGGCTAATGCCTACTATATCAGTAAGGATAGTGTAACTATGTCTCTGCTGCTGACCTTTATTAACAAACCGTTAAATAGCCAAAAACAATGTTCTGCTCCTAGTTGGATGAAAAAATTCCTGTGAGATGGTGCAAAACACAATTGGCCATTACGGGTTTATTTTTTTGAAAATTTGTCACAAAATGAGTGAGAATGCCTAAACAGTCCTTGTTGGTCAGGCATTTAATGTTTCATGCAATTATCCTGGGTGCACTACTTATATTTGATTTCCAAATAGGGAACAAATGTCAGGAGGCTAAGCGGTAATCATTTTCGTTAGGTTTAATAAGCCGTCTAGCATAACCGCATCCGATAAAGCGCACCTCATCCGTTCGTTTGAGAAATATGAAGACGACTGGTGTTAAAGTACCATTTACCAAAGATGCTACTTTTATGCCCATTTATTTGCGCCTTCAAACAAATAAACTGATAATTCCATGTGCAAGCAACGTAAGGACAGGAATTGACAAGCAGCTGAGAGGCGTAAAATAGTGTGTATAAAAAGAGATAAATACGTATTCGCAGATCCGGTTTCTGTACGAGTGTCTCGCAATAATGTGTTACCGAAATGTGTTTCATACGGAGAGATAACTGTCGATGTGGCTAGTAGGCATTTAACTTTCTGAAAATCTATTTACATCTAAAACGATGAAGCGAGGTAGATTGGACTTGGTAGTATGGACCGTCCGATACTATGGGTAATCTTGCGTTAAATGTAAAACAAAGTGCTGGTAAGGATAGGCTGTGCATCCCACTTCGGTAGTTTTCAAAATTTTACCTCCTTACCTTATCGATTTAGGTGTAATTTTGCCCCAATGCACAACATGACGAGTTCCGTAGCGCGATCGGTGAGCGCCCCACAACTATTGTATTTACCTGATCGCAACCGACATTACAGCGAGCGCATGGTTCAGTGGTTAGTACATTGCACTTCCAATCAGTACGTTGCAGGATCGAGTCCCAGTGTTTGCGCACCCTAACGGTTAGGTATAGCCGTCTGGCGACGGCTAATAAGCCGGAAATGGCTACTCGAATTTCCCCGTTTCTGTCGGTAGCGCTGTTCTGTGGTTTAAAACAGCTTACCTGAAGAAAGAAAGCCAAAGAAGTCATGCTGTACGCGAATTTTTATCTTCAGTAGTGTCACTGACGTCAAAGTTGCCCGGATCGAGTTAAAGCTTAGGATTAGGGATGCGGTTGAAGTAAGGCTTAATATTGGGAGTTAAGTTATTCCTTAGGCCGAGGTTGTTAAACTCGGATTATGATCTGCATTTACGGTTTACACTAGGATTGGGGTTCATAATTAGGGTCATGAGTTTAGGTTTAGGTTAGGGATTTAGGGCCTAGGGTTAGGGTTGAGGTTGCTTTTGAGTCTTCCCTAAATAGGTTAAGGGTTAATTGTTAGGGTTAGATATTACGACCATGAGCGGGGTTGGCGTTTGGGCCATAGGTAACTACGGTTTTCCAGGAGGATTATATACCATAGCCCTCCGTTATCGTGCCTTTGAGCCTTCTCCTGAGACTTCTAGCGATATCCTTAACTCTTACTCCTCCAAGTTCAAACCTTAAACGACGGACGTTTAGCGAAGGGTCACTTGTAGTAAGAAGGCTTCCAAATTTCTGTGTCTAAACCCAAGACGCAGTCGTATATACATGTTGAATAAAATTAGTGATTGTAGATTTAAGAGGTTTTCATTTTTTATATGTCGTCGTTAATTACGACGAAGTGCGGATGCTAGTCCCAACTAAAATTTGTTTCTAATTCTTTCTAACTAGCTGAACAACGTGTTTGGCGAGCCTCATTTTTGACTGTGCTACAGGTTTAAAGTAGGATCTTACCACCACCTCAATAAATCTGAATAAAAAGTAAACGGCCGTGCACCGCTTAATTCTTTACACTGTTAGGCATAAAAGAAAGAACTTAACAATTTGTCGCCAGATTGCAGTCGGCAGCAAATCCTGCTATGCCCGTTTAGTCTAAAATTAGGGCACAGATGTGAAAGTACATCATTTCTTACTCCAATTATCACTGCGAATGGACTACATTTGTTAGGTGACCATTATACATCGTCTTTCAGATGACGCAACCGTATCCGCAGCAAGCAGTTTATCCAAAACAGACGACTGCCTGCTCCAATCCGGCATTCTGTCCACAGCCCGCTCCCAGTCCTATGTACTTTGCCCAACCTCCGAATTACGAACAGGTTATGCAGGCGAATCAGACCTCGATAGTACAGGCACCGGCAACGAGTGGAGGATTCCCGCAGCCCCCGCAGGTTCCCCTGCCATGCCTGCCAGATGCGCCTTCTGAAAAAACCGGCAGCGCCGAAGAAGTGCAGTAGAAGATGCGACCATTCACTTTAAACTTAAATACTTGTCTGACGCAAAGTGCGTTAACAGTTGCTTGTTTGACTTGCTAGTCTCCTGACAACATCTGCCTAATGGAACTGGAGAGAACTCATCGTGTTTTTCATCATTTCAAAGGCGTTTTTCATAATGACATTAATGTTTTGTTTCTGTTTTTTAAGTGCCACGTGTTAAAATTCTCATTTTATTTTTCTGAGCCTGTTTAAACTTGAGAGGCTGCTTTTGTTGAAGATGCGTAGTTTTTTTGCTTTAAACCCATTGCAAGATGCAAAAACCTAATGGACATATTCGTGTACGTTTTCGCCAATGGGCAGTGTAAAACTGTGTTGTTGAAGCTTAAATGTGCTTTACGTACAAGGCCACATCATTTTCACATTTTCAGAAATAAAAATAGAACGCAAATAGAAGTATTTGGCGTGAATAATATAGTAGATTTATCTCCTTATGACCGTCAGTCGTGAAATCATTTCTCTGACGAATATATACCACAGAATTGTATTCCAAACACTACCCAGAAATGAATATGCATTCCGAGGCCACGGATACATGGAACTACGACCGTGGAAAATATGCGATTGCGTCAGCTTTTGGGCAGAAAACGTTTGTCTGTGTGGCGCTTCTTTTGACTTCAGATACATGATGAATCTCAGTACCACTTTTAGTTTCGGCTAATTGCTACTGATTGGCCGTTTGCATAACAATTTTGCTAGCATCAAATAAGATAAGTTTTACTCGTTGTGATGGACATTTTATTTCAGCAGAGATTACACCTTGTCATGGCCAGCCGCCGGTAGAGAAATCGTCAAAATGTGATATTTGGGGCTTTCACAGTTCTTGCTTACATTCAAAAGTGTTTATTTGAACAACGGTAAGCTGAATAGCTATATTTCAGGTCAGTTTTAGTCAGTTTATTAAGGGAATGAGGCTTTCGCCATTAAGCTCCCTATTTATATCGATAAACAGAAATAAAGTCATCAATTAAATCAGCAAATGCGAAAAGTTAAAAAGTTAGCGGTAAGTGTGAGTCAGGCGCAAACTGCCGCTGCTAAAACGATCCTAATTATACGTATAAAAGTTTCTCAACAAATGAGTATTTAGTGTACACTCAAAGGATTGGACACTTTGGGAAAGAACCACCGCATCAGGGAGTCCGTTCCATGCTCCAAGGACCCTGTGAGAGAAGGCGTTCCGTCGGACGTCCGAATGAGCCAGCTTCCTTTGCAGTTTGAAGGGATGACCAAGCAGACGGTTAGTCTCGGCCAATTCGAAGAATTCATCAAAGTCTAGGGCGCACTCATGGCCTCTGACAATCCTTTAGGTTTGAATGAGATCGCCGCGCAGTTTTCTGTAATTTAGAGGGAACAGATTTAGTTCGGTCAGCCTGGTTTCGTAAGGCAAATGATGAAGATTCTTGACCATCTTCGTAGCCATCGCCTGTACTCTTTCCAACCGTTGATAATCTTTCTTCAACCACGGACGCCAGGCCTGGACTGCATACTCTAAGTGAGGCCGAGCGAATGCTCCATAGGTTTTCCCGACAAGCTCTTTATCGATCTGCACAAATCCGCGCCTCAGCGCAAATAACACCCTTATAGCACTTTTTGCTACCCTTTGACACTGTGATGATGGTCATTAGAACGCCCAGGTCTTTCTGTTTCACAACATAAATATATATATATATGGCTAATAAGCCAGAAATGGCCATTCCAGTCTCCCTTGTCTTTGTCGGTAATATCATTCTGCCTATATATCATGCGCCGCTGCGCGGCTGCTGGTTGGGCTCGAAAGAGAGCCCTTAAGGCACAACGGAACGAGTGAGTTCCGTATGAACGATCGGTGAGCGCCCCCTAACATATATATTATGATAGTGGGCGCTCGCCGATCAGGTTACGGAACATGCTCACTGTTTGATACGGTCTGGCCGCAACGCTTCCTTACGTACGAGCATTCTAGCTCAGTGACAGTTGCATTGCAGTTTGTTTTTAAAACACGCAGGGGACCTACACCTATCAGAATATCACCGGTGAGTGGTACACGAATTGGTTTGCATAGAGAAGGCCATAACAGCATATACACCACCCTCTACCTCTCTTGTTTAAGTGTGAATAATACTGTAAAAATGTGGAAAGCGGGTGTAGGCCCTGCAACGGACACGAACACGAGCCTGTGTGTGCATATAACAATCGGCCAGCTCACTCCAGACTAGCAAAGGATTGAATGAATCGAAATCTCCGCCAGGTTAAGATATAGCAGGGTATGCTGGGGAGTAAGTAGATCAGGAATCACAAATCCCAGTTAACCGCCGTGGCTATTCAGAGTCCGCCTATGACCAAACTTATTGGAAATTTCATGGTTCATATTTCAAAGAATGTCACTAATGTTATGAAGGGCAAGCTGTTTAATCAGATAGGACGCTTTATATTGCACTGTTGTGTGCGAACAATTCTGGACGCCGTTAAGCAAGGTCTGACAGTTCGCCACTTCATCTTCCTGTGCCCAATTCTGTTGACCTGAGGAATGACGATAGATCGCATGGAGCAAGGTGACAGTGTGATGTTTGCATGGGGACCCAGTTATTATGAGATAGCATTCATCCGATATGACAGTATACTTCACTCAAATGTAGTTCAAAACCTCGTCGGCCACAGACATGCAGCTAGAAGAATTACATGAAAAATATTATTTGCCTGGTTTACTAACAAGTCTTTAAAAGGCATGATATGACTAGGACATATGCCTGTTTCACTGTTCAATCAACTGGCCTGTTCGATTTTGCCCATCAGTTCGCTAATTTCAGAAAGCGCCATCACTTTGTCGATCAGAAACATTTTTCACTAAACAGTGCGACGTATTAACAAGCTTGTCATACCATTGGTTTACTTTGCAGCCAACTGACAAAAACTTTGATTAAAGCCATCCTATCAAATCTCGAGAGAGCAGGTGATTTCTGCTGTCGAAGCGAGCTGTGGGATGAAGAATGCTCTCCTCCAAAAGGGCTTGGTATTTGGCCGCTCACTCCTCCCCCAAAAAACTGGGTGCTTTAACATGGAAAAGTGCCGCAGCCACACGCCATGATCCGATCAGCAAAAACAGGTGGTAAAAAGCAACATCGGGCCCCGGTATACGGGACGTATGAAAACGTTAGAGGTTAATTGCGCGCGAGCTGCTAGGAGATATTAACCGAGACTGCTGAAGTTTGATCGCAAAATGTAGAGATGTGCAAAAAGTGACTCAGTGTTGACGTAGGCATGAGCTAGAAGCAAAAAACCCACCGACTTACTGACAAATTAAGGGCTACGTTCCATGCGTTAAATGATTCCAAAGGGTAAATGAGTAGCCAATGCATAATAAGCAAACCAAGTTCCTGCATGGAACGGTGAACTTGGTGAACCTTCTCGGATGCGAAATTAAATCCATTTGCAAACCTCCTTTCCGCAGTAACAGGGGATCAGCAGTTCGCAGCGAGATATAATAGTTTCTCGTAAGAAAAAATCGACAATGCAGCCTTGGTGTTACGTAGCAAAATAACCCTCAAAGAGGACGGTTCCTGGGGCTCTACACAATGTTGTCCTGGTTCGATGAGCATGGGGAGACTGTATCATTCCCCGTGGTCATTCTTATAATATTCTTACAAATATGCGATTAACCTAAATTCCTAATACAACAGAAAGCACTTATAATCGACAGCCCACTCCGAGGTAAGTTGAGGTGACAGATGAGACTTTTACAAAGGAGCTCTCGCTATAAGGGGCAAAGAGTCGGTCGCTTCCCGTTAAATTATTGCTAACTGCCTGACTCGGTGTACAAGCGTCTATCTCACTTGTGCCCACGTTCTTCGTTTGCTCATTCGTGGCCCCATTTGGATCCAAAACATTTCGTTTTAGCTCTTTGCTGGTTTTGTGATCATCGGCAGGACTCTATCTCGCAAATAAAAACCCAGCCGTTGTTTGAATGATCGGAAATTTGAAGGTTCGACATTATCAAACTGACCGCGACTGCGATGTCGAAATGTTCATAGTGAGTTCGGGTCTGTAGATAACAGTCCCGAAACATTGAAAAATGTAGCAAACGTTTCAAATAACCTTCTACATAAGACCACATCCTAAAAATGCATAAGTAAAACAATTTCTGACAAGTGCATGGCACATAATCTCACTGAGAACAAGGAAGTTAACTAAAAACCTAACGCCAACCGTGGTCATGCCTTTAATGAGTAATCCTAACTCTTAGTCGCCATGCATTTATTAAAAGCTGGAACGTAACCGTAGCCTTAACCCAGACTTTGAAACCATAGCCTATGAGCCTAAGCCTAGGACCCTAGCACTAACCCTGATCCAATCATAACTCCAAAACGCTAACACAGTTATTAATCCCCAAACCAAACTATATCCCAAGTCTGTTAAGATTAGCCCTGAGATGCACCCAACGACTTACATTAACTATAGCCGTAGCCTCCACCTTGGCTCTGAGCCCAATACGGGCAATGTTAAAGTTATTATTGCTAGTGAAGTCTTAAATCCACATACCTACAAAACCTACCGCCAGGCGAACCGTTATGAACCTGACTACGATGTGAAGGTAGGTTTCCTAAACAACCAATTTGGGGGGCTTACATATTCTAACCTCCTCCAACTGAAAGATATGCGACAGGATGAATGCCTTAATATAAATCCATGTGGACGCTAATGCCATTCTTTGGTATATTTATTTTTAACAAAGTGACTTAAGGTATAGAGTCCGAACTATGGGAAGCAAGCATAATGTTCCAGAACTCGATATGAGATTAAAAAACAACAAGCGTCGATTTCGAACTTCTGGAAGCCTAGGCCATACTAACCGCATTAAATACGGTAGATATGAAAACACATGGAATGTTAACCGAAATCATGAAACGCGTCTTAGATTAAAAAAACTTCTTAAGTACGCTTGTGATCCACATGCATCATGATTCCAAAGTATTTTGGTTACTCTAAGA